GCAGCAGCAGCAGACAGGAAGCCAAGCAGCAAAACAAAAAGAGGCCCGCAGCAAACCCCAAGTGGAGTTGATAGCAATTCAAACCCCGCGAGGCTGCGCGTTCTCACTAGCTAGCTAGCTGGCTAGCTGGCTAGCTGGATGGCTAGCTAGCTGTATAGCTAGCAAGCTGGGTAGCTAGCTAGCTAGCTGGGTAGCTAGCTAGCTGGGTAGGTAGCTGACTAGCTGTCTGGGCCGCTATCTGGCTAGCTGGCTAACTGGCTAGCTAGCCAGACGCTGTGACTTCTCGCTAGCTAGCTAGCTGGCCAACTAGCTGTATAGCTAGCTAGCTAGCTAGCTAGCTGGCCAACTAGCTGTATAGCTAGCTAGCTAGCTAGCTACTTGAGCTGAAGCCTCGCCTCCTGGGCTGCGTGAAGGGTCCACGGAGGCGGCTAGCCAGCTTAGAAGCGCCCAAGCCCTAAACCCTAAACCCTAAACCCTTAACCCTTTAACCCACGACACTTCCGTAATACGTTAATGCCGCGGGCTAGGGTTTAGGGTTTAGGGTTTACTCGACGATTCGGAGGTCGGCAAAGCGCCCCTCAGGACCGTAGATCGCCTGCATAGAGCATGCAAACCCTAAACCCTAAACCCTCAGCCCTGTGCCCCAGCCCTCGAATCAAGCAGCGCTTGGTCTCCGCTCAACATCAGCCAGTACTTAGGGTTTAGGGTTTAGGGTTTAGGGTTTACCCTGGCCTTCTCGTACACCCTGTGGAGAGCCTCACAGTACCGTTGACGCAGCTGCAGAACAAACCCAATGCCACAGCCCTAAACCCTAAACCCTAAACCCTAAACCCTAAACTCTAAACCCAACACACTAGGCATAAACCCTAGACCTTAGACCCTAAACCCTAAACCCTAAACCGTGCATTGTGAAAGACACAACCTCTCACGTCCATGCCCGCCGTGGCTGGAAGTCAGCTGGCTAGCTGTACAGCTAGATAGCTAGCTAGCTAGCTGTCTAGCTATCTGTATCGCTAGCTGTCTAGCTAGCCGCCTGGCTTACTGGCTAGCCAGCTAGCTATCTGCCTAAAGAACTGCCTAGCTAGCTAGCTGTCTAGCTATCTAGCTGTCTAGTTAGCCAGCTAGCTGTGTAGTTAGCTAGCTAGCTGTTTAGCTAGCTGTCTAGCTGTCTAGCTGTCCAGCTAGCTAGCTAGCTAGCTAGCTAGCTAGCGGTGTGATGCTCTTACCTCTTCTATGTCTTTCTGAGAAGGGTTTGGAATCAGAGGAGCGGGGATTGGGTCGCCAACCACCTCAATTATTTTAACGCGCTTGGGCATCGTTAGTTGCAGTAAACCACGCCCTAAACCACAACCCTAAACCCTAAACCCTAAACCCTAAACCCTAATCCCTAAACCCTAAACCCTACTTCTAACCCTGGAAGACTCGCGAGCCGACCCTTGCGTTATGTTCAGAGGGGTGCACGCTGTCGTGTTTGATGAAGAAGCAAGAACTAGGGTTCAGGGTTTTGAAACTAGGGTTTAGGGTTTAGGGTTTAGGGTTTACGCACCGTAGATGAGCGGCAAAGAAAAGCCAAAAAAAGCCATTGTTTTGCGGGAAACAAACTTTAAAAAGCGACAAATAAAAGTATTTGCTTCAATCCAATCATACATATCGTTCTCCCCCAGAGAAAACACCTGCACGCAAACCCTAAACCCTAAACCCTAAACCCTAAACCCTAAACCCTTTTCAGCCAGATGTAGGGTGTTTTAGAGTATCAGGGTGTATGAACGGCGCCGTATTGTTGTTTGCCTGGTTTTGGGTGTAGTGTTTGCGATTTACGATTTAGGGTTTACAGATTAGGGTTTAGGGTTTAGGGTTTAGGGTTTACGGGGACGAGCGAGGACCCTGTTTGCAGCGCAATCTCAAACATCCCTTTTCTTCTCTTCAACACCAAATTGTTTTCACCTCCTTTACCTAAAAGTGCTTCTTTAGCTCCTCCAACTACCAGCAGCACTGCGCGCCCGGGGCCCCTGAACCCCGCAAACCCTAAACCCTAAACCCTAAACCCTAAACCCTAAACCCTAAACCCTAATGAACAGTCGAGGACGAGAAGGGCACCCCAGCAGCAGTTTCTGGTGGTGTTTATATAGGGTTTATATACACGTTTCAGGGTCAGAATAGGGTTCAGAGTCTATAACAAGGGTTTAGGGTTTAGGGTTTAGGGTTTAGAAGGACCTTGAAAGAAAACCCTTAATTCTCTTTTTGCTGCTGTTTATAAAACCCAAAGACTGCAGCAAATGCCCCCAAAAGGGGAGCCGCATATTGACAGCGATGGTAGTTAGACGGATGTCTATTCCTGATACAAGCGCCACAAACCCTAAACCCTAAACCCTAAACCCTAAACCCTAAAGCGCCTGCAATGCACGACACCATGTTTCCCAGCCAAGCTCATCAACCCTTCCAGCAGCAACAGCAACAGCAGCACCATCTCCAGCAGCAGCAGCAGCTCCAGCAGCAGCAG